CCCTGACTGGTCCCGTGTCACCAATTCACTAACTATATAAAAAGTTTAAACTGGAGGATGTAATGGAACATGGCACATTTTGAGGCTGTTTGTTGCCTCCACAGTTCAGGCTGCAGTATTGTTGTCTCTCTGGAGCTTTATGAATGGGCAGGATATTGCTCTCACTTAAAGTGAGGATGAATAATAGGTTCTGCTATGATGGGTTTTCCTCCCTTGGCGACATGCAGTCCCATGATAGACTAACAACCAGCATAAGGGATCATTGTAAAGTTTAATAACTCTCTTGTGAACTTTGCGGATGTCACTTCAGTGAAGTCTTTAAATGCCACAAATATTATTCCTTCCGCCTCCCCAACATAGTTGCTGTGGTGGGCGTAAAGCAAAACACTGAGGCATATAAAGGGAATGTTTATATTAGGATTGCAGAAGAATGTAGTCTTGATTTCCTGTTACAGGTTGGTTTATTGATTTCCCATCTATTCCATGTATATCGCAGTTTATCTCCCTGGTCGGGGGAAGGTAAGCCACTTCTCTTCGAGTTGTGTTAGCTCCAAGGTGACAAGTTTGGCAATGGAATATCAGAATTGAGTCAAACCTCTGTGGTGGTTGTGGTGAGCAAGGCTGGCCTGCAGTACTCCAGGGTATTGATGATGGACAACACAATCAGCCTGCCTTGTCAGCAGGACTTAATGGGCAGACCATTCAAAGGGGACAGGGATTCTTCCTACTCAGCTATTGTTATCCCTGCAAACCAAAACTCTAACTGGAAGGGTGGTCCTACCTGGACAAGCAACAACAACAAAAACAACAACTTGCACTTATATAGCACCCTCCATGCTGGGTGGCATCTCAGGGCACTTAACAATGGCAGAGCCCGAGGCCGAGCCGGGAGGAGGGGGAAGGTGACAGTTGAAGAGGAAGGTCTTCAGGTCGCGAACTGAAGATGGGGAAGGAGGGGGCGAGGTGAAGGGGTTGAGGGAGGGAGTTCCAAAGTTTCGGGGCGTAGTGGCTGAAGGCACGGCCGCCGAGCAGTGATAAGTTTACCAGGCAGTGCTCTCATTCACAGACTATGCATTTTTCACCGATTAAAAGCAATGCATTGGTGGAACTCTTCCACCTTGTTTACATGGGCGGAACTCGCAGTCTGGTTTGTACACTTTCAACCACCTGATTCTTAACAGCAGAGAGATGAGAGTTGGGACTGCTAAGAATCAGGACTTTGGAGATGTTACTATTTCTGGAGAGAACAGGACAAGCTGGAAATCCAAAGAGAGTTTGTTTTTTGAAGGAATCCATACAAAGAGGGAATTCAGGCTAATTCCAGCTCAATAGCCATGATGTGGACACTGAGAGGACAACAGCAAAGGATAACCTTGAACAAAGCAATGACTGTGGGCAAAGGTTATCTTTGGTTGGCACAGGAAGGCAGAGAATAGGAAGGTAGTAGTTAATGATAATAATGCTTGCATTTGATATAGTGCCTTATCGCATCATTGAGACGTCTCAAAGCACTTCACAGGATATACTGTAAAGTGGATTGACTGTGTACTTTGTTGGCGAAATGTGGCAGCCAGTTCTGCACAGCAATGTCCCACAACAGCCATGGAGTGAGTGACCATTTTTATTTGGAGGATTGTTGGCCAGGGCACTGGGAGAGAGAAACTCTCTTCTCTTTTCAAAAAGTGCCATGGGATATCGGTTTAACCTCTCATCCGGACGACGGTTGTAGGTGATTCCATTAATAGAGTGGTAAATAGTCTGATTCACATGTATGTCTGGTGTTTCCCGGATGCCAGGGTTTGGGAGAATTATGGAGCGGGTGGAAAAGATTCTGGCAAAGGTGACCAGCCAGGAGGCATGACCCATGTTGGGATCAATGATGCAGGAAAGGGTAGGGAGATGGTTTTGCAGCAGGAGTTTGAAGAATTAGGACACAGGTTGAAAAAACAAATAATCTCAGGATACTACTTGGGTGGGTGGGGGGAAAGGAATCAGTTGTGATAAATATTTAATGTTGAATTGGATAAGATACAGGGAAACACCTACCTGCCAAATGTTAAAAAAAAGCAACTGCAAAGGTTGGGTTTCCATTGAGTAAATAAAGAATTTTTAAAAAATAAAACAAAAAAAGGGCATATGACAGATGGAGGGTAAATAACACAGAGATTAACTGGGGGATAGATGTGAAGCAAAGGAGCAGAGTAAAAATAGTGATAAGGAGAGCTAAGAGAAATGAAAATAACATGGTAGGAACATTTAAAGTTGCAGCAAATACAAACTAAGTGCATTGATTGTAAGAGTTTGGCCAAAGAAGCAATGGGTTGGAAGGTAAAGGAGGTCTTGTAGTAGCTGAGTGTAAACCATTGGCAGAGATACTTAATAAATAGTCGCCTCAGTTATTACAAAAAGGGCATGTTGGGGATGTCTACATCAAGTGTAGTAAAAATGTCTATCCTCCTTGGGGGAGGGAAAGTAAGTGGGGTCTCCCCGGAGATTAACTGGCCCCAAGGTGACATGCCGGGCAATTGAATGACGGAATCGAGCCAGCTTCTGAGGTTGTCTCTTCAGTCCGGTTCTTGAGTCAGGCGGGTCCGCAGTACTCGAGGGCACTGCTGATGACGGCACAGCCAGCCTGCTCATAAGCAGGACCTGAAAGGGCAGCCCAGTCGCTGGGGGTAGGGAATCATCCCCCTTGCTCCAGTTAACCCGGCAAGCCAAAGCCCCTAATGGTGGTCCTAGCTGGGATGCATGGAATTCTCATCTTGGCTTGGATACTCTTAAGCACGGCGATGGCTTTCCGCATGTGTTAGACACCCGGCTGAGCAAAAAAGCTGCCTATGTGTTGTTGGTTCACGTTCACTGTCAGTGTGAGTGGAAGCTCTGAGAGCCAGTCATGCGTGTACTTCCTACCTTAAAACAAATTGTGCTCCGATTGCAAATCTTTGAAAGCGCAGAAGAGTATTTATATTGAAGTGAATTATCTGATGAAAGTTGTCAAGTCTCTTATCAAGTTGTCAGAGGGGCTTTGAGAGGATCATCGCTGGAACAAAGCAGGGTAAAGACAGTCTATGATCTGAACCCAGAAAGCATAACACTGTTATGTCTGCTGTGTTAATGCTCGTATCTGCTTGTTTTCAGAAGGCATTAAGCGGCTTACATGTTGCTCACCATTTCCCATGTACCATCCACAATCTCACAGCTCATCACATTCCACCCAGTTACTACTGTCTGGGCTCTAGGGTCAGAGTTGCTGGGAGAGTGTTGAACAGACATAAACACAGAATCTGAAAAACTAACAGAATCAGGAGATATGGTGAGGGAAGCGGATGTGTTGGGGGTAGTGGATGTCTTCCAGGGCAGGGCAAGTTGTGATGACCTCCTGAATATTTATATAAATGCAGGGTGTCCACAAAGTCTTGTTACCCCTTTCTTTTTTTTACACACAGTGCACTAATCAACAACTGAAACATGCAGAAGAATAATGATAATTGCATTTAGAATTACTTAATTGTATTCAGTACAAGTGTTTAACTGCTGCAAAATGCGCAACCAATTGTGCACAGCAGTGTCCCATTAACAGCTGTGGAAATGCATCTCTGACAGCTTGTTTCAGCTCCTCCGTAGTCTCATATTGATGCTTTTTAATAGAGGATAAGAGGACTTTTGGACACCCTGTACAGCCACTTCCAGCTGAGTGTGAATCCAAGGAAAGACATGGCGGAGTGGGGGGGTGTCCAAAGGGTGGTTTAATCTTTAAATCCTCACAAACATGCCTTCACTCTTGAGGTTTGCTGTACTTCTTCCCACAGCTTCACCTATTTTCATTCCCAGTTACATCACATCTGACTCCCGCACGTTGCCCAGCCCAACTGTGCAAATGGCACAGGACACACTGTTCTCTGAGTCACTGAACAATGTAACTCACTGAAAGCAGACTCGCTTTCCTATGAAATATTGTGTGAATGTTTCCAGCCTTGGATTTGCTTTTCCTGACCTGCGAGTGCCGTATGGATAGCGCAGAGGGAACTTTACTCTGTATCTAACCAGTGCTGTAGTTGACCTGGGAACTCTGGACGGACAGTGTATCGGGAACTTTACACTGGCTCTAACCCATGATATCACTGACCTCGGATGGTGGATGGATAGTAGAGAAAGGAGCTTTATTCTGGCTCTAACCTTTGGTGCAGTTGACTTGGGAGTGCTGGATGGACAGTGTAGAAGGAACTTCACTGTGCTTCTAACCTGTGCTGTGGCTGACCTGGGAGTGTGAACAGCATAGAGAGTTAGCCAAAGAACTAATTAGTCGGGTGGTCCAAACTGAACAAACAGAAAGCTCAACAGACAGTGCTCTCAATGACAAGCTATGCAGTTTTAGGCTAGTTTCACTTTAGCAGTGCTTCACGCACTCTGGGATCACCAAGCCTTGCTCTTTCTAATACTCTCCAGAAATTAGATTCGCAGAGGGTGCATCCCTCCAAGACACATGGACATTTGCACATGTATAATAATAATAATCAATAATCCTTGCATTTGATATGTAGCTTATATATGTGATACACGGTCTGGTTTGGATGCTCTTAAACATGGTAATGGGTTTCCGAATGTATCAGACACCAAGATGATCAAAACAAAATGTAGTGACTTTGATTTTCCTAACAAGCAGCAGTCAGTAGAACTACTATTAATAACCTTGCATTTGATATCGCACCTTATCACATCGTTAAGAAGTTTCAAAGCATTTCACAGAATATGTATACTATAAAGAGGGTTGACTGTATATTTTGTGGGTGAAACGTGGCAGCCAATTGCGCACAGCAGTGTCTCACAAACAATCGTGGATTGAGTAATTTTTTGCGGGGGGAGTGGAGAGAGAGATAATTACCCCTGGAAAGCAATCCGCCAATCGATTAACAACCGGGTTCTTACTTACTGCTAGGTGTGTGGAGTAAGGAAACTTACCTAACATTTCGCCATGACCGGGAATTGCAACAAACAGAGACTTTACTTTAAAAACATTTATTAAGGTTTATAAGAGACATTGATGTCCTTCCTGCTGAAAAAAGACATAGCTGCAAGGAGACAGTGGAACACGCACTGACAATACAGAAAAAGAACAAGAATGAACAACAAGGTGATCAGTAAAATGTCATCTTCTGAACTTCTCACCCCCTTTCATTATTTACACACTGTTCTGTTCACATTGTATTGAGGTGAAATGAGTGGATTCATAACCAACCGTTTGATGGGATTTCCCTATCAGCCTACGGTGGCCAATCAGAAACATCATACAGGGTGACCAAAAGTCATGATACCATTACAATATCTAATAAGTCTTAAAGAAATAATGATATATATTTTTGTTAGATAATAGGATAGATATTATGACTTTTTGGTCACCCTGTATTTCAGGGCTGGGTGGTGGAGGGGTGGGGTCTAGTTGTCACAGTTCTTGGCTGGGTAACGCACTTCAGAATAACTACTGAGCTAAAGAAAAATTTAAGTTGAAATCCATTTGGGCTAGAATTTAAAACTGAAACAAACAGAAGGAAACGCAACATGGAGGCGAACAAGCTGAACAGAAGCCGCATGGTCGAGGGGTGTTTTGCTCCAAGTCTATATTATAATTTAGTGTAAAACACAAAATGATCCCAAAATCTGTCCTTGGGATAATTAATGCTGATGATAGTTGGCACATCAATAAGCAAGGGAAAAAGGATATTGGACTACATAGAGAAATCATTTTAGTTCAGATCCCTAGAGTCATACTCTAGCTACATAATGCCCCGATACACAACCCTTTGTGAAGGGTGCTATATAAATGCAAGTTGTTGTTGTTATTGTTGCCCTAAAGTGTGTGTATACAGTTCTGGTTGCCTTAGGTAGTGCAGAACAGAGCAATGTTAGAGGAATGAGCTGTGATCTACAACTGAACAACCTAGACGTGAAACATTATAGGAAATGTGTAACAAAACGGATACAGTGCAAAAATGTGGCTTCAAAAAATCTCCTAAAAAAGGAAAGGCGTCAGAAATGAGAATTCCCACCTTAATTTGGTATTACAGTAATATGTGATGTGATTTCTTTGGTATTGTTAATTTGGGCTTAAATTTAAGATCATATGTGCACTTTTAAATTCAGTATCGATTTGGAAGTCAGTTTTCCACAGTTCTTAAAAGAAATTCACAGTATGGGCAAAACTGAACTTAGGAATTTTCCACAATTCTGCAAGATCTTAAATTTGAAGCCCGAATGGTGTCACAGGATAAGAGAAGGTTGAGTTGTAGATCTTTGACTCGTCTGTGAGAGCGGTCAGGACAGGGATAGAATATAGGGCCCTGTTCTTCTATCTGTCCCCATGGTGCTTTAAGAACCAATCTCACTTCCGTGGTGGGGTGGGGGATTATTGACTGATTAAATGTCTTTGCTTTGGGGGGGGGGGGGGGTCTTGCTGCTCACTAATCTGCCATGTGTCTCTATGGCTCCGTCACATGTTCTCAGCCTCCCCGCCCCTCCCCTCTCCCCCACACTGCCCAGAACCTCGTGGTTCATTGTTGTGACAGTAGGTGGGTTGGTGGGTGTATGGAGTGTGTGGGATTGAAGTCCTTCACAGGAGTGTGCTGGGTCGTGTTGAGCACGTTAGAACATTGGCCGTGAGCTGTCCTGAAGCTGGGTAACACTGTTGTGGAACTATGACCTGTGCAAGCTGAGGAGAGGCAATGTGTTGTGATGGAGGTTCCAAGCGTCCTGGAGCTGGGGCCTGGGATTGTCCTTTAGCTAGAGTTGGCCGGGCTGGGCTGGGCCAGGCTAGGCCGGGATGGTCAGGGCTCACTTATGGTACATGTCCTCCATGGACACCCGTCCCCAAGTGCCCACAATGAACATTTCAATGTCGCATTCATTCTCTCCTCGAGCAATCTTGAAGTAGCCGCCCTCTCCCCAGTTCCTTCCCCAGGAGTTAGCGGCAATCTGTGGGCAAAGGAGGGTGACATACTGAGTGGTAGGAGGCTTGAGCAATGTGTGTGTGACTGGCTGTATCCTAACCCAATCTCCTCTGTGACCACCCCCACCAACATCCTAATTTACTTCAATCATTTATCATAATAATTCTTTCACTTGATATACAGCCCCCGCAACATCAAGTATCCCCAAGAATTCAGTTAGTTGCTGTCAGATGTAGATATCGTATTTGTAAGTAAACACGGCCGCCAATTTGCAAATGGCAAAGCGCCTTCACAGGTGTCAGCCTTGAGTGTGATACCCTTTATATCTTGTTAAAGGGGCAACTGCTTACAATTTATCAGCAGATAATAAAGTAACTAAACTATATCCTGCAGTCTTGAGGCCCACACATCCGCTAGCTTCAAACCCCACCTGCTCACCAGTGTTGAACATTTAGTTTTATTCAGTCAGTTGGTTGTCTGTTATCTCACCAGTTCTGGCCCAGGCTCCACATCACTGAATGGATCGACTTCAAGATCCTCACTCTCGTGTTCAAATCCCTTCACTCCCTGGCACCTCCCTCCCTCTCCAACCTCCTCACTCCCCAATCCACCACCTGGCGCCTTTGCTCGACTGGCACTGGCCTCCTGCTCATCCCTCGCACCCTCCGCCCCACCATCGGATGTCAAGCTTTCAGCCACTACGCCCCCAAACTCTAGAACACTCTTCCTCAATCCCTCCGCCTTGCGCCCTCTCTCCCCTCTTTCAAGTCCCGCCTGAAAACTTTCCTCTTCAACCGTGCTTACAGCCACCTCCCCCCTCACCCTAGCTTGGAGTCAGGCTCCGCCACTGTTAAGCGCTCTGAGATGCGTGGAGGGTGCTATATAAGTGCAAGTTGTTGTTACATATGGAAACCCATCACCATGCTTAAGAGAATCCAAACCAGACTGAGTTCCTTATCTGTCTGCATGGCTAATATGGCATAATAATTAACTTCAGGATCCTGTAGTTTCTTCCTCTACTAATCACTATCCTGAGCTCTTGTGGGAAACACTCAGTGCAGAGGGAGCTTCACTCTGAATCTGACCTGAGCTGACCTGCTGGACCGACAGTGAATATAACAGGTGAACATACCTCCATGTGAGTAGCAGAAAATGCACCCAAATTCTTTACAAAAGTTCCTTCTGATTGATACATACCCAGTATTTGGACATCTCTCCATTGGCTGTTAGCTGCTCTCCCCACCTACAAACAAACACACAAACGCATTCATTCACTGGTAGTTTTACAGTTTTCTTCCACCACAAATTTCTTTTTCAAGTGTCATTGTTGGCAACAAGGATGAGATGTTCACATCCCAATCCTATTTACAGTCCAGCTCAACTCACATCCATTACCCTACATAGGGCCCAACCCAACTCAATGCCAAGCATGTATTGGTTAGCACGCTCGCCTTGCAAGCCAGAGGGATTGCGTTCGATTCCCGGGCAGGGCAAAACGCTGGGCAAGTTTCCATCCTCCATACGCCTTTGTTTACCTAGCAGTAAGTAGGAACCTGGTTGTTACAAAAATAATTATCCTTGCATTTGATATAGTGTTTTTTCATGTCTTCTAGATGTCTTAAAGCGCTAGAAGACGTGAAGAAATGCTTCACAGAATACACTGCAAAGTAAATTGACTGTATGTTTTGTGGGCGAAACGCGGAAGCCAATTATGCACAGCAGCGTCCCACAAACAGTCACGAATGAAGTGACCATTTTTATTTTTTTCAAGAAATTATTACTGCCAGAAAAGTTGATTGGCGGATCGCTTTTCTGGGGGTAAATAATCCCTTCAAAAAAAAATAAATAAATAATAATTTGTTCACTCAATCCACGATTGTTTGTGAGACACTGCTGTGTGCAATTCAAAAACAACAACAAATTGCACTTATATAATACCCTCCACCCAGGGTAGCATCTCAGAGCACTTAAAAGTGGCACAGCCAGACTCCGAGCCGGGGGGAGGGGGGAGGTGGCCGTAAGCACGGTCGAAGAGGAAAGTTTTCAGGCGGGACTTGAAGTAGAGGGAAAAGGGTCAAGGCAGAGGGATTGAGGGAGAGTTTTCCAGAGTTTTGGGGCATGATGGCTGAAAGCACAACCTCCGATGATGGGGTGAATGATGCGAGGGACGAGCCGGAGGCTGGTGGTGCCAGTCGAGTGTAGGCGCCGGGTGGTGGATTGGGGAGTGAGGAAGTCGGAGAGCTAGGGAGGTGCCAGGGAATGAGTGGATTGACTCACCTCGCCCATTCCCTTACCTCCTTCAAAGCCAGCCTCACGACCTTCCTCTTTGACTATGTCTTCAGTCATCTCCTCACCTTCATTCACCTTTCCCACACCGCTCTTGACTCCAACTCCCAGCTCAGATGCAAAACCTTCACTGTCTAGTGCCCTGGGACATCCTCCCAATGTGAAAGGCACTATTGAAATGCAATTTATTGTTGTTATTCAAGAGTTTTAGGCACAGATTGGCAAGAGCCAAGGCTTGGGGACTGAGAGGGAGCCATGTCTGGCAAGCTTCCCATTGCCTGACCACCCACTCTGTTGGGGCTTTGGCAATTCAGAGTTAAACATGAGCGGAGAGTGAGATATGAAATTGAGGAGCACATATTCAGGTATTGAAAGTGATTGCAGTTGTACTCTATGGCCTTAAGCCACTCTGCCCCCACCCTCTAGAACTCCAACCCGCAGTCCCTCAGCCTTGCCTCTCCTTGCCTCCTTCGGGACCCGTGCCAAGTCTCTCCTCTTCAAAGGTGCCTTCAGTCACACTCCTTCCCCTCTGCTCTCCACCCTCCCTGATCCTGACCCCCAGCTCGGGTTCGAAACACTGATTGTCCTGCGCCTTGGGACGTCCTCCCAACGTGAATGGCGCTTTACAAATGTTGTTGCTGTTGTCTATCCCACGATGAGGCCCAGAACGATGCCCAGTGATTCCAAGGCCTGATAGCACTTGAGAAAGGGGAAGGAGGCAGCGTCCAATACTTTAAATATTTGTACTGAACAAATCCTTATTTATTCTACTTTTCACAACAGGGACTGAACAGTTCATCTGGTTCCTTGAAAAGAAGCTATATATAGTGAGATCAGGACGTGTTCCAAGTCTATCTTGGAGAGGATGGACGGAATTCCTGATAGAATTAACCCAGTAAGGCACATGTGCAGTATTATATCAGACCTTTGTCAACCAGAAAAAGGAAGGGAGCTGTTTTCCTCTGTTCCACGTCCTTCTGCCTCTCTGGCCAGGAACATTGAGGCCAAGAGCTGACGCCCAGTTCCAGTCTCTCTGTAAACCTTATCTAGGAACATTTCATTGACAAGCACCTTCCCCCACACGCCTGAGTAAGCATTTATGTTTGACCAGAACAATAACGAGCCGACTCTTCCATCAAATTGCTCATCTAAAATCAAACAGTCTAGGGTTGTCTGTCGTTCAAACTCTCTTAAATCTTGTCGGTGTGTGTTGCCCTGCAGTGGTGAGTCATCACGTCGTTGAGACTTCTCAAAGGGCTTCACAGGATATACTGTAAGGTTGATTAACTGTATTATTTGTAGGTAAAATGTGGCAGCCAATTGTGCACAGTGTCCCACAAACAATTATGGATCAAGTGACCCGTTTTTTGGGGGGAGGGGGATTATTACCCCCGGAAAGCAATCCGCTAATCGAGTAACAACCAGGGATCTACTTATTGCTGGGTAAACATAGCTGTGTGGAGTAAGGAAACTTGCCTACGGTTTCATCCCGCCCGGGAATCAAACCCAGGTCCTCTCGCTTGCGAGGTGAGCTTTTTAATCACTACTCTACCGCACACATATTCTCCACAGATATTCTGATAGACATACTTTTCCCGATACCTATATATTCACCATCAGATCTTGTGACGTGTTTAAAGTTCTCTTATGAATTTGTTTTACAACCAGAGGAGAGGAAACAAAGGACTGTCAGAGTCTCACAGTGACACCAGATAAAAGATACTAAGACTTGATCGCCAGGCTACAGACATTCACACTGGAGGTTGAGATTAATGAGTGTACCTAGGGGAAGTCATGGAGTGCTGTACAGGTTCAACAGAAGCTGAGTGCTACTGTAGGAGGCAAAACTGCTGAAAAAGCAAAGGGGCGCCTGAGCCATTCGATAAGCTGCAACCAGATAGTGAAATCGTGGCAAGTCTTGATGTCACGTGCTGGGAGTTTGGAATGTGATTATTCAGTCCTGCCTGTTCCTGAGCAAGTTCAGGCACATTCCCTCTCCCCCCAACATTTGTTATTTCATTTGAACAAAGAGATAATGGCACCGATGTGAAATTCCACCTAATCGTCACTCACCCGGTGATCCTAACGGAGTGTGTCCCGTGTCTGCGATGATTCTCCGGGGCTCCTGCCATTACCGGAACATGTCTGTAAATCCCACTTCTATACACAAAGAAGTCCTCGTGAACCTCCATAAGAGCTGTGATAGAGAGAGGAAGATGTGTTACTGCTTATTCCTCAGGTTATTCTCGGCATGCTCACAACGTCCTGCTATTATTCTCAGTTGTGGGCAGAACTATGCTGGTCCAGATAGTGTACCAGTCACCAAACGTTATGAATGATTACTTGTGAAGCAAGCCGGCTGTCTGACACATGCAGAAACCACACTAATAATATTCAATCCAAACTGATACTCTTCCCGCATGTGTCAGACACCCACCTGTCCAAAAGAAAAAACAATGAGCTTCACAAGTAATTACTGATAACGTTTAGCAGTTGGTGTGCTATTTGGTATGCTGTTTGGACCAGCATGGTTCTACACAAACTGGGAATAATAACAGGGAATTTGTTTCGATGTGATGTAGCGCCATAACAAAGTATGTTTTATCTTTCTACTTCAGTGATATAGCTACAATCAGTTTTTTTTAACAGGATGTTCACTGCCTCCTACGTTTATTCCTCCCCAAGTTCACTCCCCTCCGCATTCGCTACTCTCTGTGCTTCACTCCCCATACTCACTCTTCCCTTACATTTCATGCACCCACACTTGACAAACTTGAATTTATATAGTGCCTTTACTTAGAATGAAGTCTTGGGGGCGCTTCACAGAGTCAGGAGTGGGCATCAAGCAGGGAAGGTGGGGGAGGTGACCATAGACACAGTCGAAGAGGTAGGTTTTTAGTTAGTAATAATCCTTTCATTTGATATACAGTAAATTCTTCATAACTCAACCCTGGCTTAACTTGTCACTGCCCTTTAAGTCCTCATGCTGTCAATATCCCGGCCTCTGCACCTCAGGCTCTGGCAGCATCAACCTCCATGGTTGCACACTTCAACTCACCGCCAGTCAGGAACCTCGGTGTCTTGTTCGACCCTCAACTGTCTTTTTTTCCCCACATCCAAGCCCTGACCCGCTCTGCCTTCCCTCACCTCCATAACATCGCCCGACTCCGCCACTACCTCACCCCTCAGGCGCTGAAGCTCTTGTTCATGCCTTCATCACCTCCAGGCTCGACTATGCAAACTCCCCGCTTGTCGGCCTTCCCAACTCCTCCTTCCACAGCTGCAGATAATCCAGAACTCTGCAGCCCGTGTCCTCTCCCGCACCAAACTCCGTGACCCATCTCCCCCAATCTCACCCGACTCCATTGGCTCCCTATCCTTCAGAGGATCCAGTTCAAGATCCTGGTCCTCACCTACAATGCCCTTCACGGCCTCACCCCTCCTTACTTCTGCGACCTCCTAAACCCCTACCAACCCGCCCGCTTCCTCCGCTCAGCCGGCTCTGGCTGCTTCACGTCCCCCGACCCACCCACCCCATCATTGGCGGAAGAGACTTCAGACACTCTGCCCCCAAACTCTGGAATTCCATCCCCCAATCACTCCGCCTCGCCCCCTCCTTAGCCTCCTTCAAGTCCCGCCTCAAGACCCTCCTCTTCGACCACACCCCTTCCCCTCCCCTCCCTTCTCCCCCCCCCCCACCCCCCCCCCGACCCCAGCGTGGGTCTGAAATGCTGTACACTGTCCAGCACCTTGGGACGTCCTCCCGACGTGAAAGGCGCTATACACATGTAATGTTGTTATTTATTTTTGTATTTATACATATGTCTAACTCTTCCTTACTCACTTCCCACTCCCCCTGAACTCTCACCCAGTGTTTCAGGCTACCTCTTTGACCCTCGCTCACTCCCTCTCACACTCACTCTCCCCTGGAGTATTTCCCACCAGAACTCCATTCTGTCAGTCCTCACTCACCCTCCCTGCACTTGCTCGAGATGGAGGATTGTAGTACACAGAATTCAACAGAAACATACCAACAGTTGATGGTAGTTATCAAACAATCCTTAAACTTCAAAGATTCCTTAACTAACAGAACAAAACCATTACAAATGATCCCGCCGTTTCTAACATGTGCTGTTGTGGGCAAGGGCTGGATGAGTTAGGGTCAACGTACCAAAGCAAGAAGGGTTATGGTGATCAGGGGAAAGCAGTGGAATTGAAAGAATAGGTTGCTCCGAAAGCCAGCGCAGACTCGATGGCTCCTTCTGTTCTGTAAATTTCTATGATCTTAAATAAGATTTCAATAAGATCTTCTCTGAGCCTTTTCCTCTCCATTGTGAACCCTCTCAGCTTCTGGTAGCCTCAGCTGGCAACGCAGGTACCCATTTTCTATCTGTCAATCTAGTTGGGCTTAACTGAACCCTTTCCAATATAAAGATGTCCTCACTGGTGTTACAGCAACTAGAATTACCCTCAGTGCTCCAGGCAGGCCTGAACCAATTTCCTTCTCATTGCTTGAGGTAAGTGCAGGGAGCTGGGTCCCCTTCCCTCCCTGCTGTGCTCTGTGCTGAAGAGAATCAATCAACCTGGATGGCTGGGGCAGTTCACAGTTCAAATTCTTGCCCAATCCTGCCTCACAGCCGCAAGGGCTGGATGAGTTAGGGTCACGTACCAAAGCCACAGCTTCGTCTGCAGTCAAAGGTCACTAACCATGAGAAACAGATGCAATATTTCAACTCTCCCTCCCCTGCAGCAATGAGAGATTGGAATTCAATTGAAATGCTCAAGACTGAGGTGGATAGATGTTTGTTAGGCCAAGATATCAAGGGTTATGGAGCAAAGGAGAGTAAATGGAGTTGTGGTACAGATTAGCCACAATCTAATAGAGTTGCGGAACAGGCTTAAGGGGATAAATGGCCTAGTCCTGTTCCCATGAGAGTACTGACAGCCTGAGACAGCCTATTCACTGAGACGGAGGTGAGGAGTCACTGAGTACAAGGGAAGTTATCCACAGACCAGCACTCACCTTGTACTGGCCCGTTCTCCATCAATTCCTTCATTATCTCCTTCTCCTGGTGGATGAAAAACACATTTGATTCATGTCCCCATGCATTGTGTACACTCCGCCCCCCAGACACCTTCCCCACTGATATTAAGTACTGACGAGCGAGAGGGTGAGGCTTTATTGAGTATGAAAGTGAGCGGGCAGCTGGATGGCGAACCTGCCAGAGTGAGGTACATTAATGTTCTATGAGATGCTTTAAATGTGGCAACACAACGTGTCTGGCTGAATGACCAAGTATCAAAAATCCAACAATACTATCAGATAGAGTACAGCGAAATTCTGTTGATTAAAATACTCAACTTGACAGCGAGAATTAATGAATAAACCAAACTATTCACATATCCCACATTCAATCAAACAAATTTCACTGTATTTTCCAACATTCCCACTGTTCAACTGTGCCCTTCAGGGTCTTGCTCCTCCCTCTGTGACCTGCTAACTTCATACCATCCTGCCCGCTCCTTCTGCTCAGTAGGCCTGCTCCGTGTACTGCCCTGCCGGCTCCACCATCCACAGTCAGGCCTTCAGCATTTCTGCCCCCACTCTTTGGAACTCCATCCCTTTACCTCAGTCCTTCCCTTGCCGCCTTCAAGGCCTGCCACCCTCCTATCCCTACCCACCCTGCTCTTCACCCCTCCTGATCCCAATCCCCAGCTCGGGTGCACATCCTTGACTGTCCAGCGCCTTGGGACGTCCTCCTGACATGAAAGGCGTTATACAATTGTAATTTGTTGTTGTGTTGAGGAGAATGGGTGAGTGGTCCCTGTACCAGTACATACACTGGAAAGCGAGGGATGGGTTGATATTGTACTTACATTGGTGGAGAGTCGGTATGCCGGGGTGGATTGGTAAACCTCATTGGAATGGGAGTAAGGGTTGGGGCAGGGCATGGTGGCCTGTCTCTTACCACGACCTGCACTCCGTGTGGACATCATACACTGGGGGCTGAGGGGCTGGTTGTCGGTGCTGGAGAATGGATAGCAATTGTTTGTCACCACCCTGAAAGACAGAAGGTAAAGTGGGATGAGGGACGAACAAGCTGAACACTAATCCTAAGTCTTAAAATACATCACCTCCTCAACAACTTGTAAACAACTCCCTATAGAGCCCATTGATCATAAGCTTAAATTACTGCTCCCAAATCCAGGGTGGCTTCTGTAACTCACCTACAGCCTCAAACTTCTCTAATCATCCCAACCTTTCTTGTGTCCAGTTTGTTGTTACCTCTGTTGTTTCTGCCCTACCTTTGTTTATCCTGAGCTCCAAACCTTCGCGCTACTTACTCTGTTTCCACTCTTCATCCTCCCTCCCTGTTGAAATAAATACTTTTCCCCTAACCTATTCGCTTCCAGGAACATAATTATGGAACTGTTTCCCTCCATCAGTTTATCCTTTCTCCTATAGTCCACAGGACTTCTCTGAATCTTCTCTTCTTTCAGCACTCCAAAGTGTTTAAACTCCAAGCTCAGCATCACCCAACCATGGGAACCACCCAACCAACTAAGACCCCATTCCTGACTATTTCTTCGGATGAGACCTTAAACCGAGGTCCAGTCTGCCTGTTCAGGTAGATGTTAAAGATCTCCTGGTACTACTTGAAAAGAAAAGAGTTTCTTTCTCCCGGTGTCATGGCCAACAAACCCCCAAACAAAATTGGTCACTCACGCCACTTCTGTATATTAGAGCAGAGAAGGTTAATATTTCCAGAAGGCATTTGACAAGGTGCTACGTAAAAGGCTGTTGCATAAGAGTACAGTCCATGGAATTAAAGGTAATATATTAGCATGGATTGGAGAGTGGCTAACAGGAAGAAAACAGAGAATAGGGATAAACAGGTCCTTCTCAGATTGGCAGGATGTGACTAGTGGAGTGCCACAAGGATCAAGGCTTGGGCCTCAATTATTTACAGTCTATATCAATGATTTAGATGAGGAAATAGAATTTATTATATCTAAATTCACGGACGATATGAAGATAGGTGGGAGAGTAAGCTGTGAGGATGACACAAGAAGAATGCAAAGGGAAATAGACAGGCTGGGTGAGTGGGCAAGAAGGTGGTAGATGGAGTATAACGTGGGGAAGTGTGAAGTTATTCACCTGCGTAGTAAAAATAGAAAAGCAGATTATTTTCTAGAGGGGGAGAGACTAGGTGGTGCTCGTGTTCAGAGGGATTTGGGTGTCCTTGTACACCAGTCACAAAAAGTTAGTATGCAGATACAGCAAGCAACTAGGAATGCTAATAGCCATGTTGGCGTTCGTTGCAAAAGGGGTAGAGTTCAAGAGTAGGGAAGTTTTGCTGCAATTGTATAAGGCCTGGGTGAGACCGCACCTAGAATATTGTGTGCACTTTTGGTCTCCTTATTTAAGAAAGGACATACTTGCCTTAGAGGAGGTGGAGCGTAGATTCACCAGGTTAGTTCCTGGGATGAGGGGCTTGACCTATGAGGATAGGTTGAGTAAACTAGGCCTATATTCTCTACAATATAAAAGAATTAGAGGTGATCTTATAGAAATCTATAAGATTCTTAAGGGTCTCCAGAGGGTCGATGCCGTGAGACTGTTTCCCTGGTTGGAGAATCTAAAACTAGGGGTCATAGACTCAAGATTAAGGGTCAGCCTTTTCAAACTGAGTTGAGGAAACATTTATTCACTCAGAGGGTAGTGAAGTTGTGGAATTCTCTACTCCAGAAGGCTGTGGAGGCTCAGTCCTTGAACATATTCAAGACTGAGGTTGAGAGATTTCTAAAGGATAGAGGGATTAAGGGATAGGGAGATAGGTTGGGTAAATGGGATTAGGTTAGAAGATAAGCCATGATCTTATTGAATGGTGGGGCAGGCTCGAGGGGCCGAATGGCCTACTCCTGCTCCTACATCTTATGGTCTTATGGTTAAGGGGAGATTTAATAGAGGTGTTCAAAATTATGAGGGGTTTTGAAAAAAGTAGATAGGGAGAAACTATTTACACTGGCCCGTGAGTCAGTAACCAGGGCAAATTGATTTAAGATAATTGACAAAAGAACCAGAGGGGAGATGAGGAGATTTCGTAAAATTTAATTTATTTATTTTTACACAGAGAGTTGTTATGGTCTGGAACGCACTGCCTGAAAGGGCGGTGGAAGCAGTTTCAATAACAACTTTCAAAAGGGAATTAGATAGGTACTTGAAAAGGAAAAAATTGCAGGGATATGGGAATAGAGTGGGGAGTGGGACTGATTGGGTAGCTCTTCCAAAGAGCTGGCACAGATATGATTGGCCGAATGGCCTCCTTCTGTGCTGTAATATTCTACGATTCTATGATTGCTGTGCGCAAACTGGCTGCCGCGTTTCACTCACAAAATATACAGTCAATTCACTTTTCAGTGTATTCTGTGAAGCGTTTTGAGACATCTAGAAGACATGAAAAGTGCTATATCAAATGCAAGGATTATTATTATATACATACCCACGCCGCCTCAGGTACCACCAGGCTCCGTCTATTCGGCCACCATCACAGCCCTGCTGGTTACGGGTGTCACAGGATATCAGATTCTGGGGTGAGAGCACTGGAGACATGTGGCCCATGGAATGGATGGAGATACGGTCTGAGGCCACGGCTACAATAGAAATGTATGTTGCTGATCGAGATGTATTTGTTACATAAATTCATTAATTAATGCTGTGATTTACAATCTTGTACAATCTTTGTAAATCTTTGATATCCCCCACACACCTCGCTGATATCCCTTGCTCTCCTCACTGATACATCTTTACTGATATCCTTCTGTGAAACACTCACACACATTGATACACCCCTCAGGGTAACCTTGCACATCTGTGTACAATGTGCCCACTGAAGACTTGTTGTTGCTGTGGATGTGCCTGTAACCAGGACATTACATTACCTGCTGTGGAGAATGCCCATGAAGCCGCACAGTTCCCCTGGTCCATTGGCTCGTGAATCATCCCCGGCCATTTATCTGCTGCATTGAAATATCTGGGCAGCAGTTCATTTCTTTCCATGTGCACCTGAAAGGAGGCAAATATTAGGGATGGAGGTCGGTGAAGCCTCACAGTGGGAATCCGTGGAACACAGAGAATAATTGTGAGTAACTGTCCAATGGATCCGGCACCTAAAGCCCCAAATCTGGGCAGTCCCAGTGCTGTGGGAAAGCTGGGGTGTGGTGAGATAAGCGTCTCCCATTCTGTGTCTTTTTACTGTGAGGAAGAATCTGTGTGTGTGTGTGTCGCAGGTTTGGCTAAATCCACATATACAACACAAACTAAGTTCCTTTATCCAGGTCCCCATTTCCTGGTGAATCTCCGGGAACCTGTGGTATCCCAGTGATAGTCAACAAGGAAAGGTCAGGGAAACTGACAAGGTCACTTTTCTAAGGAGGACACACGTTGCAATGCTGAGTGCCCAATCAATCTTAATCTCAATCACACATCTGGGTGAAATATGTCAGAGTCGCGCAAGTGACCAATTACACAGCAACATCTGGCCAGCATTCTCACTGCTGCCTGAACTACATACAATTCTCTGTTTGTTTCTCTGTCTGCCTGAGCAGCGGGTCAGATCCTGAGCCATGGGAACAAGGCTGTGACTGAGGGGAACCCCTTGTGTTTTTCCTCTTCCCAGATGTCCCAAGGTAATATGTGTGGCCAGGATTTCTGCAGCTTGCACAGCAAACGCCCCAGGTAGCCATGCAGGAGGTAGGTGCAGATGACATGTGCCGTCCACATTTCCCACCATAAAGGACTTACATTGAGTTGGTTCATATTCATCACGGTGGCTGAGGGACGCATGGTTCCCAACCGGTAGCGGATTCCTTCCTCCAGTGTCATCCCCCAGAACTGGCTGTAATTGGATGCTGTCCATCTATCAAAGGAAAGTTTCACATGTCTGAGATTCGCACATTACAAGACGATGAACAGGTTATGTGTTCACTAGCCCCACTCTCCCTGCCCTCCATCCCTCCTTTACTGTCCAGCGCTTTGGGAGTCCTCTTGACGTGAAAGGCACTCTACAAATGTAATTTGTTGCTGTTGTTGACAGAGAGAAGAGAAGTGTGATGCACCTAGAGACACTGACTAGGTACATGTGGAACCTCATGGAAGCGACACTATAATTTATTTTTATGCTTGACCGTCTGAACCCAGGATTACTAGCAGAGAAATCAGTGTCAGCAAAGTAACACAGGGATTTTCCTGCATCTTAGCTTAAGCCTTAACAAAGTTTGAGACAAGTGGAAACATGCAGATTTCAAGGTACATGGGAATGAGCCAAGAAAGTTAGTGTTTCAGCTGCTCTGCGGCAGCAACACAGAAACAGATATTTGTTGAGTCTGGCTTCAACTATTCTTGTCCTGTTTGACTGACCCTCACCCACGTGCCTCTCTTCTGTATAAGCCCAGACAGCAAGTGTGGCAAAGTATTCAACCAAATAGGGATCACAGCTGAGGCCCATCATTACGACTGTTCAGCCACGGCTGTTTGTGAGATACTGCTGTGTGCAACTGACTGCCGCGATTTACCCGCAAAATATACACTCACTCCACTTTACAGTGTATCTTGTGAAGTGCTTTGGGACGTCTCGACGACGTGAAAAGGCGCTATATCAAATGCAAGTATTATTAGTAGTATTATTATTGTTGTTGTTGTTTACCCGTAATGTCCTCGGTTAATGCCATCGATCATTTCGTGGTTAATCAGGCAAGCGTACTGGTCACAGCTCCACTGACCATCACTGCAGGTGCTAAAACACACAATAACAAAATACAACAACAAAATTACATTTGTATAGCGCCTTTCACGTTGGGAGGACATCCCAAGGTGCTAACAAACCAGGCAATTCTCAGAGTGAGTCTTATTATCACCTGTTTATGACAGGATTACTTCTCTATAATAACCCAATAAAAGCAGCCATTCACACAGACACATAGAATAGACGAGCGCTTGTCTGCGAAGTCAAATCAGAGCAGTAGGAAATTGCTAGCCAAATCCTCAGGAATTCTCCCACAAGTGTGGGTAGGTCACAGACCGGACTCACTCAGGAATTCAGACGGCTGAGGGAAAACGATGCAATTAATGCGTTCAGTTCTGCATCAAAGAGTTTACCTCTGAGATGGACCCTGGCATGTTCTTGTTAAAACATCAACTGTCTGAGCTCAAAATCCTCCCCCTGAGGCTTGCTCTGGCTGTCCAGCAGCAATCATGTCTGCGGGATGCCTCCCACTCTCAGATTCATTCAGCTTCCTCTCTTTAACTCTTACATTGGATTTTCTCCCTAAGGTACCTGATCCATTGCACCAACCGACTCACATACTGATACAGAATTCGAGGGGACTATTAGCACTACTTGCCTTTTGCCTCCCATGGCAACCACAGTCCATTCAACATGTTGAAGATGTTATCCCTCCTTCCTCAGGTGTGTTGAAATCCAGATTTATTGCCCTGTTTCCTATTCTAACCTTATGCTAACTCCAAAAAGGAGTGCTTTTCGGGGGTATATGATGCAGAAAGATAAGTCAGACTGAGTGAATTGCTCTTTCCAGGATCCAGCATAGATATAATGGGCTGAATTGTCTTTGTTGCTGTAGAGGTCTAAGGGCCTTTGCTTCCCCATGGCCTCTTGCCTGAAACTCCTCGTATGCCAAGTCTTTTTCTTTCTCTTACGTTTAGGGGATCTGCAAGGCAAAAGCCTAGTTACCTAACCACTACTCGTTAATTTTTATCTCAGTTCTCTCCTAACCTTTTCAACCTTGGCCATACTCAACAGTTCACACTTCACTGAATCCTTGAAGCACATAACCACAAATAAAACGCTCATTTAAAAAAGACTTACAGCATATGCAGTAATTAATTCAATGTAGGTCATGAGTTTAGCAAGTGGAACCTTGTGCTATTTTATTCCTGATAAACCTCTGGCTGAAAGTGTGTAGTTTCAAACTCTCACAGAACGTCACAGCACAGACTTAGACTACACGTACATTAAATTGAGAGACCTTCGAATTAACAAAACTTTAAAAGTAGAAGGGAAAGTGGATATTACAAAAAGAATATAATAATAATAATCCACACATCGAAATAGTGCCTTATCATGTAGTCAGAATGTCTCAATGTGCTTTACTGCAAAGTGGAGTCACTGGATATTTGTAGATAATCATGGAGGTGAATTTGAGCACAGCAATGTCCAATGTCAAATTGAGACAGCCATAAAATGAGTGACCAATTTTATTAGAGCTTTAGAGAGTTATAGGTTCAGCGTCAGTCCATGAGGATGATAACAAATATGCAAGGACCTAACAATGAGAAGAGGCTGGAGTTTAAGACGCTTCCTGTTGGATCAGATAAAGGTTGGGGTGATATGATAGAAGTGTTTTCGGTTTAAAGAGAATTAATTCCGAGGAGGGGATTCAAACACAAAAGAGAATGAGTTTAAGATTATGACTGAGGAGTAAAAGGATTGGTTAAGAGAATCCTCTTTTCTCAGAGGGTTGTCAGGATATGGAATGATTTGACAAGGGTCATTGTTAGAGCAGAGTCCATTGAGGCATTTAAAAGAGAATTGGAAAGGACAGAGGAAGGGTATTGGAGTGAACGGTAAAGAGCAGGAAATTGGTTGTGTGATGGACTACTTCTTGGAGGAGTAAAAACCAACAAGAAAAAATGGTCCCAGTAAGCCTCCTAACTGTTTCATACATTTCTATAATTCTTTCAGAGAAAGATAAGATGGACATACTGGTCTGGATGGCCTCCTATTATGCTATTATTTCTATGAAGTCTGCACTGGGAGGTTCTCTACACGAGTCACTCTAGTTCCACCCTCCTGCTTTGTTCGCCTTAATATATCTCCTCTTCTAATACCTTTCCAAAGATTTTCTGGATTCTGTCTCAACAGTGGTTTACGTCGCAGAATTCCACATTTTAACCACACACTGTACAAAGAAATATTTCCTGACCACTTTTTTTTGATGATATCGGGATTTTATCCCCCCTGATTCTCTGGGTTTCAATTTTTTTCAGACCCTAAATAGCAAACATGCCTGGAAAGCTGAACCCCTGGCAAAGCTCTGCAGCAGTTTTACTTCTATTTGGTATTTTTCTGGTTGTGTTATTTAGATTGAATCGCAGAATGATTAAAGGGATTGTGACATAAAGATTTGTAGATTGTCTCCTTTTGATCTCAGTTCATTTTCTTGGCAAGAGTCACAGTGTATCTGAAATCTGACTGCGAACAAAACAAATGGACCTTAAAAGGCCATCACTGCATTTTGAGGAGTGTTGCTGGGAGCTTCACTCAGTGTGGAGGCACCAGGGAAGCTCTTGATTTGTCACTGATCCAAACCACAGCTTTATTGTGTTCAAAAGCTTTGTTTATTGATCATGGAAAAGCATTACGGGGAACAGGACGCATTCGGACACCGTCCTTTAGACGTTTGTTTGGTAATCTCCTCGAAATGCTATCAAGTCCTCTCGCCCGTTTCAGGAATTCAAGTCGATCTTTCAGTCAGCAAATATATGGAATATGGAATATTGGAAATATATGGAATACTGACTCGTCAAACTCTGCTCCAAGAGTTCATCCCAACTTAATGAGATTCTGTGAGTCAACATGACACATTCCAGATTCCAAGGATCAAATTTAAAACATCAGATTTAAAATGACCACATTTTAGATCTTGTCCACCAAGTATCTCCTTTGCTCCCCTGAAGGCGCTGTTGTGCTTGAGCCTGGATATTGAGCGTCGCTAGGTGTTTAACCATGGGGGCATCTCAGCAGAGCCTGACCCTGTCTTGCACTTGACGTGAGCTTCTCTCCTTTAATAAAATGACTGACGTGCTGTGAATGTCTGCCAAGCTCAATACAGGTACAGAAAAGGGTATTGCCCCCCTCACCCCAACCCTCCGCTTTCGCATGATGTCCAATTGTTTGCACTGTCTGCACATCCACAAAAGGGCCGGTCCCAATTCATTTAGATAATCGTGTCTCTCCTGTATGTGTCCTAACGCCAGCTGCTGTGGTTACATTGTACAAGTGGTAATACTTGCTGATTCACAGCGAGCAGCACGGTGTAAGTTGATGCCGGGTGTGTTAACTGTGGTATTGGACACATGATACTGGAGTCTCAAGACTAGAGGTTGGCCATTTGATACAATCACAGTCTTGGCTTTGGCTCCCATTCTCCCCTTGTTCAAAAGCACATCTGCAAATGTACCGCCTTGACCATGTATTGGGTTTTACGCCATTAAACATAAGAAACAGGAGTAGGGCATTCAGCCCCTCGAGCCTGTGCCCCACCATTTAATAATATCATGGCTGATCTTCTAACCTAATTCCATTTACCCACCCTATCCCCATATCCCTTAAGTTTTAAAAATCTATTGATCTCAGTCTTGAATATGTTCGATGACTGAGCATCCACAGCCTTCTGCGGTAGAGAATTCCATAAATTCACTACCCTCTGAGTAAAGAAATGTTTTCTCAACTCAGTTCTAAAGGGCTGACCTTTAATCCTGCGACTATGATCCCTAGTTTTAGATTCAAGGGATTACGTTTTCTGTGCCTTGTAGTGTTAAAGTGTTGGTTTGATACTGTGACAGTTTATATTTCTATGGAATTAGCCTGGACTAGAGCAGTTCACTATCAGGTTCAATGCAAAGTGGACCACAATTCCCTCAGCCCCTCCTAATCTCTTTAAAAAAACAATCTCTTAAAAAAAAGCATTGTTCTTCAGCGGTATTGCCCGCTATAGTAACAGGCTCCAGTACAGTGAAGCTGAACTATAGTGTGCCATTGTAACAGGCAGGGCTGCAGTGAGCAAGTTGCCATTTTGTACAAAAAGATATGTTTTAGAAAATGACACACCAGTCCTTGGGCCAGAGGAAATCATTAGAAATCGGTTTAATGTCTCATTAAATAGATCTCATACCGACCTACGACTTAAATCCACAACCGTGTGACTAAGAGGCGAGAGAGCGTGCTGATGAATAAGCCAAGCCAACACTCCACAGTACAGGTTGCAGGGTGCACAGTGCAGGTGTGATACAGCTACATTATGCCTGTGTTATAAGTGCTGTAAAGACACAGTGTGATTGTAGCACAGCTGTGTTTGTTGTGTGTTCACTGTACAGTAAATATAAACTCTACTGCTTACGTGTGTGTATGTGTGCGTGTGTGTGTGTGGGGTGGGGGGTGGTGTGGTGTTGGTTAGATTGGTTTGAGAGTTGGAGCTGTTGCAGCCAAAGTGTATCTGCTGGCGAGAAGAAAGTGATTCAGCCATTACACCGAGTGAAGCTGAGGGTAGGAGCTGCTTACCAGAGATTGCAGTTGTCTTTGTAAGTGGCTCCTGCTGGGTATCTCTGTCCATGCCTTTCACAATCTGAAAAAGAGAGAGAGGTGATCATTCTGTGTTGTGTAACCCAGAGCCCTCGTCCTCCCAGGCTGTCAGCTATGAGTTTCCCAGCCCAGGACTGCGGCTCAATCAAAGTCACTGGTCAGAAGCTTTCAATTGGTTCTGCCCTAAAGAGGGTCTGAACAACATCCGTCCACAAACACATGCTAAATGCCAACATAGTGAGCTGGTGGAAACGGCAGAGGGCTCCTCCCTGTTCCCCACCCCCAACCTTTCCTGCCCTCCATCCCTCCTGACCCCAGCTCGGGTCCAAAAAACCCTGACTGTCCAGCGCCTTGCGACGTCTTTCCAACCTGAAGGGCGCTATGCAAATGTAATTTGTTGTTGTTGTTCCCAGCTCTCATCAGGTAATGCCATCTCATACAGAGCCACAACCTGTCCCACACATTCCTCATGAGAACGGAAGCCAGCCTGCTCCTTCCTGATCAATGCATGTGATACACCTGCAGTGACTACAAGAAGCACCAGTTTAAGAGCCGCTGAAATCAGTGAGAAATACGCCCAGTGTCAGCCCCTTAAGCTGCTCAATGAGTTGCAAATGCCTGGCACCGAAGAGGTTACTCAGTGGGAGTGAGCCCAGGGTATAGGGTAATGGACACGAGTGCTTTAACATGTCATCTTTCTTCCCAGTGAACAGGTAGTGCTGGCTGCACAGAAGCAGGTGTGAGGCAGCCAGCCTATGTCAGTTCAGGTATGAAAGGTGCAAAGGTTCAGTGGTTTTGCTCCAGGAGGTTTCTGTCAAGGTTAAAGGGAAACAGACAGGAAGCATTGCAACATTCACGTTCCAGAAATTGCAGTCAGTCACTATTTGAGGAATGTGATTGTTTTATAATCTTGCTGTGTGCAGCACACTGTGGAGGCACCCAGTCACACACAGAATGCTCAGGAGGTATGCTCTCTGTAACCTGAGCTATGTAAAGTCTCACCCTCCCCACACACACACACATTCATATACCGTCCCCACACACACACATACCTCTCCCCCCCACGCCCCCCCACCCACACACACAACCCACTCAAACACCCTGAACTTCACACACACACACCGACATTCACACTGACCAACATTCACACACACACACCTGCACTCACAGATACAGCCACATCTATACTCATATTCCCCACACAAACCCCTCCCCAACCCACAAACCTACTGACACTCCCCACACACATACGTACATCCCATTCCCCCCCCCCCCCCCCCCCCCCCCACATATACATACACTTTCCGAACCTTCCCATAGTCTTCCCTTTTCTTCTCAACTCTACATGGCTTCTCTTTCCCCATGACCTGATTTTGTCTGTGTGCCAAATGGTAAGTGAACAGATCTTACTCAAGCTGTAAATCAGTACAGTGAGGAACACCTCATCTTCAGCAACCATTCAGAACACAGAGAGATCAACTGCTTCCTCTTATTCATACAATCAGAGAATTCTCAGCTCAGGAGGAGACCAATCGTCTGACCTGTGGGGTACTAAATGACGCTCACTCCTCTAATCCCACTCTTTCTTTATATTGTAAATAAATGCTCCTTCTGTCCTTAAACTGAGGTCAAATCTGACTGTTTGAGTTGACGTTAAAGATCCAATGGCGCTATTCGAAAAGAGAAGGGAGTTCCTCTCCCCTGGTGACCTGGCTAGCAATCCCCAAAATAAAATTGGTCACTGACTCCATGGCTGTTTGTTGGGCATTTCTATGTGCAAACTAGCTGCTGCGTTTCGCCCATAAAATTTACAGTGCAACCTGCGAAGCACTTTGAGACATCTCAACTGTGTGATAAGGCACTGTATCAAATGCAAGGATTGTGAAATTGACTCAGCTTGTGAGAATGCATTTCATACACTGACAGCCGTGTGTAAAGATGACGTACCCCATGATTACCAGCAGAAGAACACACAATGAGGTCACCACTGAAGAGAAAGCATCTGTGTACACTGCCGGCCTTTTGAAAAGGCTATTTCTCCCTGTACGTCCTGACGGCTCTCCTGTCTGCTACCCATGTAAACTAATAGTGTGACCCGGATTCAGTGTTTATATTAGCCCAAACACTATTAATAGTCAGCAGGGCTCGGGGAATGTGTGGCTTCTCTCCACTGCACATTTTGGTTCAGGGTTTAGCTGTACAATTTGGATCTAAAATTCTTTACAAGTTAAAAATTAACTTTGTACATTTTATCCTTGCTCGCAATCAGTGTTGGATAATAACTCCTCACTGGTTACGCCAGGGGCCTTAGGAATGGTAACTGTCTAACCCAAAAGAGGCTGTGAGATGTAGGCCAGGCACTAGCTTGCCTCCCGCAAGACTTCACTCATCCCAGCTATCAGGCTGTATTCAAATACTGGGGTGAAAGAACAGTGTGCGCGTGTTCCTGCACAGCCTGCTTCACTGTCCCTGAATATAATGTTGAAAGAATATTTTTGATACTGCCACTGCCTATGTCCTATATCACCCTATAGCAGTATCACCCTATAGCAATCTCACCCACTAGGTCAGACAAGGGGGTGTGCTGCAGAGTTCTGCCGCTGCACGTAGGTCGGCCAGACACTGCAACTTTGCTCCCTCCTAACCCACACTCCCTTCCTCCAACCTCTGCCATTCTCTGCCTACTGCTTGCACAGTTAGGACCACCCGACTCATTGAGGCTATGGAGCGGAGTGCAAAGAATCATTAGAAAATTATTCAAATGATTCCAGGCCAGCCAGGGTCTGTTACCAGAGGATGGTATACACACCCTGAACTGACCCATTCCGCATACTGTGTCACTGTCACACACACACACAGTCATCCACCCACACACACAGTGTGACACACACAGAACATGCGGCAACACAGTGTGACACACACTTCGCCCACAAAATATACAGTCAATTCACTTTACAGTATATTCTGTGACACTTTGAGACGTCTCGAAGACGTGATAAGGCACGATATCAAATGTAAGGATTATTATTATTATTCCAGGGTTTCAAATTGCACAATTTTACCTTTGCCCCTTTGTAATTACATTTAGATTACAAATGCCGTGTCAAAATAATGCATTGGATTAAGGTGTAACAACAAAATTACATTTGTATAGCGCCTTTCACGTTGGTAGGACATCCCAAGGTGCTGGACAATAAGTGTTTCGGACCCGAGTTGGGGGTTGGGATCGAGGAGGGTGGAGAGCAGGGGGTGGGGGGGAGGAAGGTGACTGAAGACATGGTCGAAGAGGAGGGAAGGTCTTGAGATAGATCTTGAAGGAGGCAAGCTAGGGGGCGAGGTAGAGGGATGGAGTTCCAAAGGATGTAAAGGATTAGAATACAAGCAGTACATATAACAGCACGGAACACACCTTATCGTATAATAATCATAATCCTTGGATTTTATGAAGTGCCGATAACGTTGAGATCATCTCAAATGTTTCACAACATTTCTGTGAAACTTAGTGATTGTGTAAACACAGCCAATTCTTACGCAACAATGTCCCACAAACAGCCGTGATGTGAAAGATCAATTTATCTGGGGGATTTCCTCGCTAAAACATATGGGAAATGCCCTTCTCTTCACTTTTCAAAGGATACGACAGGATAATAATACTTGCATTTGATATAGCACCTTAATGCGTCTCAAAGCGCTTCACAGAATTGACTGTATATTTTGTGGGATCTTTAACATTCCTTAACAAGCAAACGGGGCCATGGTTTAACATTTCATCTGAAGGACGGCACCTCCAACAACGCAGTTCACCTCCAGCATTGCACTGGAGTGTCATCTTATGAGTTTAAAGTCCTGACGTGGGTTTGATCCCAACGCCCCTCTCACACCAACCTTTTGACCCAGAGGCGAGACAAACAGCGTCTACACAGAATGAGACTCCTGCTCAGACCTGAGCCAAACAGTGTTAGAGAGTACAGGCTGTCTGACATGCTGTGTCTGTCTGTGGCCTGTGGATTCAGGGGGATTAAGTTGTTGTGTACTTACCCTTCCTGATGAAGGGCGGCTGTATGCCCAGGCAGACAGCCCAGAAGTCGGGGCAGCAGTCAGACACCGTCCTGTTGCAGAAGAGATCACAGTAGCAGATGGTATCGATGTAGGGGACAGTACAGGTGTCAGACCTGCCCGGACAGCAGGTCCACAGGCGGCTGCAGTAAGCGCCCCCAGGGTCTCTGATCCCCGCACGGTGTAAACCAGGGCTCAGCTCCCGGCGGCTACGGCTCATGCCTCGGGCTGTCAACTCCTGGGACAGGAGGGAGAGCAGCAGCAGGAGGAGGGTGGGAGAGAGCGACATGTTCAGGCAGCCACACAGACCCGGGAACAGGCACTGAGCTGATTCCTCTCCCAAACCAACCTGCGAAGCGGGAATGTGAGAGTGAGACACACACACACCGAGCAGTGCTAACACCGGACTGGTCCACTGACATTAACTGCAAAAGACTTTTTCTTTTTTTTTAAAAAAAACAACAACTTTTAACATGTTTTTTCAAAACTTTCCCCAAACTTTTGAAACACTTTTTTTTTGAATTAGAACACTTGATTTTTTTTATTAAAAAAAGCACCGTTTTCAAACCTTTTAAAATCTCTCTAAAAACAAAAAACCCACAAAAATACACTTCCAGAACTTTTTCATAACGTTTTCATAACGTTTTCCAAACTTTTCAACAACTTTTCTTTAAAAAAACAACTGTTTTTGAACTTGTCCCCCCCTCTGGCTTTATCCACCTCACTTTACCCACTCACTGCCCAGTTTATCAGTGACTGTTAGTGAGATTTCACAACTTACACTTTAGTCTTTCCCTTTCAGTTTAGTTGAGCTCCTCTTTTCTCTGTCTCTTACCCTCCAGCTATTATCTGACGTTCGTTCCCTTTCACATTCGCTGTTTGCTACGACAACCCATCTGTTTCTCTGTCTGACTGTCACAGAAGAGACTCTCACACACACTGATCTCTCTCTCTCTCTGTGTGTGTGTGTGTGTGTGGGGGGGGGGGGGGGGGGAGGGAAGGGGGTAATTGTCACCCATTAAAAAACACCCCAGAAAAGTTTGAGAAATGACAGCAGTGAGTGAGTGAGTGACTCAGTGCAATGGTCAGTCTTTACCCTCGAGTTGACTCGCATCTCAACGCCAATACTTGGAATTCCAACCAGTCCTACACCAGCCCAACCCTCTCCCCCTCTCCCTCTCCCCCACACACAGCCCAATCTCTTACCTTAACACAGTAATTGCAAAACTCCAAAGCCAGTAAGCCCTCGCCTTGTTGTTGGGGATGTCTACCTGAGACACACGGCTCAGGGGCAGGAGGTGTGCAGGTAGTTAGTTAGTTAGTTTGCTGCTGTCTCTTACTGACCAAACCCTGTCCTGATCTCCACAGTGACTGACAGCACAGCAGTGGCTCAGCGCTTTATTGAGCTCCTGGGAGGGAGGCGGCTCAGTGATGTAAGCGCTGTTGAAGGGTTGTCCTGGGAGGGGAGGGGAGGGGAGGGCTCAGATGCCCTACAAACAACACGTCGCATTGGACTAACAGCCCAAGGATCCTACTATGATTCTAATGGTACACTGTACACTATATGGTACCCTCTGTGGGTGTCACCCTCATGGTAAACTGGATTCGCTCAGAAAGGAAACTTGTATTTTCTTACCCCTTATCACATTTATTTCATCCGCAATCTACACAGTCACTTCACTTGACAATATACCCTGTGAAGGGCTTTGAGATATCTCAACGATCTGATAAGCCGCTATATCAAATCCACGGATTGTTATTCTTATTATAGGTCTAAAAGCATTCCATAAGTAACTGCACTGACACATGGAGTCACTGATTCTATAGGCAAACCCAGCAGCCCTGCGGACTTCAATGTCCCATATACCACCGTGAGATCATAGAATCACAGAATTACACAGCACAGAAGGAGGCCATTCGACCCATCATGTCTTTTAAAAGAGCTATCCAATTCAATCCCACTCAGTCTCTCCCCATAGCCCTGCAAACTTCTCCCCCAAAAATGATCTACTTCTCTCTTAAAAGTTGTTATTGAATCGGCTACCACCACCCTTTTAGGCAATGCATTCAACAACAACAAGATTGCATTTATAGAGCGCCTTTCACGTCGGGAGGACGTCACAAGGCGCTGGACAGTTGGGTCGGGACCCGAGCAGTGGGGAAATGGTCAGGGTGAGGGGAGGGAAGGGAGGGAGCGAGGAGGGGGTAGAGAGTTGAGAGGGGAGCTGAAGGCTGAAGGTCAAAGATAAAGGTCTTGAGACCGGCCTTGAAGGAGGAAAGGGAGGAAGCGGCGAAGGCACTGGGGATGGAGTTCCAGAGCTTAGGGGCTGAGAGGCTGAAGGCCCGACCACCAATGGTAGGGCGGTTGGGGCGGGGGTGTGGAGCAGATCGGAGTCAGAGGAACGGAGGGTACGGGCAGGTAGGTAGGGGGATAGTAGGTCGGAGAGGTAGGAGGGAGCGAGGCCGTGAATGGCCTTGTAGGTGAGGATGAGGATCTTGAATTCGATCCTCTGGGGGATGGGGAGCCAGTGGAGGTGAGCGAGGGTGAGGGTGGGAGTGATGTGGGCGCGGTGTCTGGTGCGGGACAGTACACGAGCAGCAGAATTCTGAATGACCTGCAGTGTGGAGGAAGGGCCGGGAAGGCCGACGAGGAGAGAGTTCCCATAGTCCAACCTTGAGGTGATAAAGGCGTGGACCAGAGTTTCAGCCGCGTGAGGGGTGAGGTAGTCTGGCGATGTTTCGGAAGTGGTGGAAGGCGGTGCCAGTTGTGGCGCGGATATGAGGAAGAAAAGACAGCTCAGTGTCGAACAGAACACCGAGGTTCCTGACCGGCTTTGAGGGGTGGAGAGTGCAGCCTTGGATGCTGATGCTGTCATTCCAGATCCCAACAACTCGCTGTGTGAAAACGTTTCTCCTCACATCCCTTGTTTTTTTAACAACTATTTTAAATCGGTGTCCTCGGGTTACCAACCCACCCGCCAGTGGAAATAGTTTCTCCTTGTTCACCCTATCGAATCCCCTCATAATTTTGAAAACTTCTATGAAGTCTCCTCTTAATCGTCTCTGCTCCAAGGAGAATAATCCTCACTTCTCTCGCCTCTCCTGATAACTGAAGCCCCTCATTCCTGGTACCATCCTGGTAAATCTCCTTTGTACCCTCTCCAATGCCTTGACATCCTTCGTAAAGTGTGGGGCCCAGAACTGAACCCAGTCTCGAGCTGAGGCCTAACCAGTGTTTTATATAAAGGTTCATCGTAACTTCCTGACTTGTGTACTCTGTGCCCCTATTTATAAAGCCCAGTATCCCGTATGCTTTTTTAACAGCTTTATCTCCCTCTCCGGCCACCTTCAAAGATTTCCTTATATGACCCCCAGGTCTCTCTGTCCCTTCACCCCCTTTAAGATTGTCCCATCAGCTTATATTGCCTCTCCTCATTCTTCCTCACAAAATGCATCACTTCACATTTCTCCACATTAAACTTCATCTGCCACGTGTCTGCCCACATTACCAGTCTGTCTATGTCCATTTGCAGTCTGTTACTATCCTCCTCACTGTTCACTACTTTTCCAGCTTAGTATCATCTGCAAATTTGGGAATTGTACTCCCTATACCCAAGTCCAGGTCATTTATATAGATCACAAACAGCAGTGGTCCCAGTACTGATCTCTGGGGGACACCACTGTACACTTCCCTCCAGTCAGAAAAATAACCGTTCACCACACTCTCTGCTCTCTGTCTCTCAGACAGTTCTGTATCCGCTGCCACTGTCCCTTTAATACTGTTGGCTTCTATTTTGCTACAAGTCTCTTATGTGGCACTTTATCAAACGCCTTTTGAAAATCCATATAAACTACATCAACTGCACTACCTTCATCCACCCTCTCCGTTACTCCATCAAAAAACTGTCAGGTTTGTTTGACATGATTTGCCTTTAACAAATCTATGTTGGCTGTTCTTTATTAACCCATATTTTTCTAAGTGAAAATTTATTTTGTCCCGGATTATAGTCTCTAGAAGTCTCCCGACTACTGACGTTAGGCTGTCTGGCCTGTAGTTCCCAGGTTTATCCTTCTGCCCCTTTTTGTGCAGGGAAGTAATATTTGCAACCCTACAGTCCTTTGGCGCCACCCCAGTGTCCAAGGAGGATTGAAAGATTGTGGCCAGAGCCTCTGTTATTTCCATCCTTACTTTTCTTAGTAATCTAGGAAACCGACCGACCCTACCATCGGTGGCTGAGCTTTCAGCCTCTCTGACCTCACACTCTGGAACTCCATCCTTCGCCTCGTTTCCTCCCTAGCCTCCTTCAAGGCCGGTCTCAAGACCTTCCTCTTCGATCGTGCTTTTGTCGCCCTCCCACCTCTCTGCCTTCCCTCACCCCATGCTCGGGTCCTGACCCCTGACTGACCAGCGCCTTGGGCCGTCCTCTCAATGTGAAAGGTGCTCTATAAATGTAATTTTTGTTGTTGTTGTAGGATGCATCCTGTCCTGACCAGGTGACTTACATAGCTTGAACACCATCAACCTTTTTAGTACCTCCTCTCGGTTTATCTTGGATATCTTATCCAATTTCTCTACCCTCTCCTCCGATACTGTTGCATTGGATGCAGCTTTTCTTTTGTGAAGACAGAGGCAAAGTATGTCAGGCAAGCCCTCTGCCTCCACAAGAAGATTTCCTCTTTGTTCCCTAATTGGACTCACCCTACCTTTGACTAATCTTTGATTCTTTATATGTTTATAAAATACCTTAGAGTTCCCTTTTATGTTACCCACTAATCTTTTCTCATACAATCTCTTTGCCCCTCTTATTTCCTTTTCCTGTTCTCCTCTGTACTTTCTACATTCTATTTGATTATCTTCTGTGTTTTGGACCTGATATTTATCATAAGCCTCCTTTTTCTGTTTTATTTTAATCCCAATTTCCTTATTTCATCCAGAGAGGTTTGGATGGCCGACTTTTCCCCTTTGTGGGAATGTATTTGTTTTGTCCCCGAACTATCTCCTCCTTGAAGGCTTCCCATTGCTCATTAGCTGTTTTACCTGCCAATCTTTCTTTCCAGTCCACCATGGTTAGGCCCCTTTTAACTCACTGAAATTAGCCCTCTGGAGTATCTTCACCTTTGATTGTTCCTTGTCCCTTTCCATAAGTACTCTAAACCTAATGATGTTGTGATCAGTGTTATCCAGATGCTCTCCTAGTGAAACCTGCTCCACTTGTCCCACTTCATTCCCCAGAACTAGATCCAGCACTGCTTCCTTCCTCGTTGGGCTGGAAACCTACTGATCCAGAAAGTTATCCTGTACACATTTTGGAATCCTTTCCCCTCCTTGCCCTTTACATTGTTATTTTACCAGTCTATCTTAGGATAATTGAAGTCCCCCATTATCACGACTTTATTGGTTTTGCATCTTTCTGAAATCTGCTACAGATTTGCTCATCTATCTCCTTCCCACTATTTGATGGTCTATAGTATACACCTAACAGATTGACAGCTCCTTTTCTGCTCCTTAGCTCTAACCAAATCGATTCTGTTTTTGGATCCTCTACCATATCGTCCATTTCCAGGGCCGTAACCGTGGCTTTAATCAATATTGCCACCCACCCTTCCTTTTTTTCCTTCCCTAATCCTCCTGAATACATTGTAGCCTGAGATATTCAGCTCTCATTCCTGCCCTTGTTTGAGCCAAGTCTCCGTTATTGCCACTACATCATAACCCCATGTGGCAACTTGAGCCGCAGCTCACCAACCTTATTTGTCACACTCCGTGCATTTACGCACATGTACTCCAAGATCGAGTGAGTCTGTTCTGCATTTCTCCCCCGACTAATCCCTCATTTTTCTGGACTACTCCTTATTCCATAGCATAACATGTAGTAGCAGGAGTAGGCCATTCGGCCCTTCGAGCCTGCCCCGCCATTCAATCATGGCTGATCTTCTAATCTAACTCCAGCTAATAACATAACACTGCCTTATCCCCATATCCCTTACTCCCTTTTGCAATAAATAATCTATTGCATTGCTATTCTTCTCTCCCAGTCCTCTACGTAATTTTTTTCTCCTTTCTGATATTACATCTTGATTCCTTTCACCCCTCAAAATTAGTTTAAACCCTTCCCCACAGCACCAGTTATCCTCCCTGTGGAAACGTTGGTCCCAGCCCTGTTCAGGTGTAATCCACCCAAGAAAGATTTCCCCTATTCTACTGAATGAAAGAGTTTTCTCTTGCTCTCTGGTATCTCTCTTGCTGAAGAGTTCCCACTCTCACCAAATTCCTTAATAGAATTCTCACTCTGTTCCACCTCACTCAGTTCTCTCCTCACACTGCTGGGCTCTCTGCTCGAGATGAAAGAATATAAAGCTTAGACGCTATCTACA